AACTATTAAGTTTACCTTGTTGTATTAATTAGTCTTTCATATGTGCAGTTTTCTGCCTTTCACGATGACTTACTCTTTTCAGGGGAGGGGGGTAAACAAATAAAAAAGAGCATGGGTTCAGATTTGTTACGTACATGCACATTTTAGGTAGCATTTCACCGCATTCTTAAACAAGAATTCAATAATTCAAAGATGATCGGAGGAGATTTGATGCAAAGCGGATGAGGCGTCGCTTGCTGGTAGTCTTATACCCCATTAAACCGTGGAAGGTTGGTACCTTCTTCTTCTAATCTAAACAAATCAATGCACTTGTTGGAGTTAAAATATGGTAATTATTTGTTAGTTTTAAAGTGGATTATGATGGTTGCTAAAAGCATGAAAGTGAGCAAAGGCCCGAACGAACTAATTTGTTGAGGATTGGACTTCTTCTTGATCTAAATTAGTTGAAGAATGAGTCAGTCACAGCAGAATACGTAGCATACACTCACAAAAATTTTCTTTTTTTTTTTTCAATTGCAGGAATCCTTTGTCATTAAAACCCTTTTCAACATTACTTTTTCTGTCAATAATGTAGACAATAACACAATAATTGATGTAGACACTAATACAATAAGAGTAAATCTTATATACACTGACAGTGCATACACTGTCACCGCTGGATCAATGATACTTGTGCAAAAATTAAATTTCAAATTCAGATTTTACATAGTTGTCATTCGTTCAATACTAATAGTGTATGCACTGTCAATATATGAAAAAATAATTCATATAGTAAATATAGACAATAACACATCAAAAATAATTTTTTTTTTTTAAAAAAAACACAACGAATCTTTTGACACCTTAAAAGTGGTATTTTACATTTAATCTCCACCATTCAATTTAAAAACACCTCATCTCCACCTTTAACTATAGCCTGCCGTCCACTGCAGAAGTCCCCGATTCATTTTGGGTACGGGCAAAATGACCGTCGTCACAAACTTGAATGATTTATGGCCTCAAATTGGTCAACAGTGCAGAAGTTCAAATTGGAAGGACATGAGAACGTCGCTCCGATACAATTAATGTGTATGGTTCATATGAACAGTAGTCGAATAAGGTGTATAAATTATTTACAAATTACAGTAATGTGTTCAAAAACATATTATTATTTATTGCATCAAACACCCGAGCCATTGGTTCTGTTCTATGCTGACCGCCGTCCCAACAAAAGCGTAGTGCTAACCACTGGTTCTTGATGACTTCGCCTTCCGACTTAGGATGACGAATACTAGATTTTGAGCTGGTACCCTGCCATGCATATTCAGATGGAAGATTGCCCTCGACGGCAACGGCTATCAGCATCAGGTTCGGCGCGGCCAAAATGAAATTGGCGTCGCAAATATGACTTCTTGGGTTCTCAGATTCTAAGCGATCGATGTGCATTACGCCATGAATTTCTAGCAGCCAACAGAGATTCCTCAATAATTAATTAGAAGAATACCTAAATAAATGCTTATCTGCAGAGTTTGTAGTCTATGATCCGTAACATGCCAAATTACCACAGGCTCTGATCGATCCCATACTTGGATCGCATCCACTCATACTATATATAGTGCATGGCTGCTGCGACATTGATGTCAGATGAGATTGTGGGCTATGATAGATACCTTGTAAAATGAAAATTGTTCAATTCTTGAACGCTACATGATTTGTTTGAGTTTCGTGCTCCAGAAAGGATAATAGTTCAAGATAGAAACTTGCAACTTTTTTCTCTTCTTAGGCGGAGCCCAGAAACTTGCAAGTTGATACGGGCTATTACTAGCTACAAGTTGAAAGCAATTAATTTGCTGGTCAATGCAGCTGGTTAGCCATTCTTAATTTGCCTCACTCTCATAATTTGCTGCTCTCAATTTAATAATTGCAATGCATGTGAAGCTGGTTCTCGCTTCCCAGGTCTACTACTCATTGGAAGTTCTGACCATGCGATGCGAATCACAGACCATGCATATGGAAAGATAATCAAGTTGTCGATAAGGGATGAGACTTTTACTGAGGAATGGTACTGATGTTGGAAGAAGCTTGTAGCAGAATAACAAGATTCGTTGAGACAGAACTTAGTCAAATTTAATTACTAATAAGGAGAGCAGCTGAAGAAACAATTAAAACTTAAACAAAGCAAGCCATTCACTTGTGATCTGATTGCTAAATCTAACTTTGTAAGAAATTAATTATCTAAACTTAAAAGACATTTAACTGTCTTGATCCACCCAAGAGCCTGGGTTGCCATTGCCAACACATAGCAGCACTTTGCCAAAGCGTCTGGCATTACATAATCGAATTACTTAGCTAGTTACTGATGTTTCCTGCAGTGGTCAAGTTTACACGTTTTATGGAATCATAAAAAGAGGAAAAGGGCTCCTACCAAAAACAAGAAAGCGAAAAAAAAAATTAATAATAATGATAATAGGAGGAGGAAAAGGTCCAAAGGGGCGTTTGTGTTTGATTTCTGAAAAGATGTAATCTACAGCTAAATACACAATTTGTCAACAATACAACAAGTTTGTATCATTTCTTTCATCGTTTTCACTTCGACCGCAGAATTTCTTAATGTTATCTGCAAGCCTTTTTATCGTACGCGTGATATTTTATTATTTGGAAGTTGGATGGACAAAGATGCTTGCAGGCCAAATCCGGCAAAATTCGATCAGGAGCAGCCGTACTTTGTGTCCATACTCCATAGCAAGCAACCAGTCACCTTTATTGTGCCAGCTAGCGGCCGATTGCCGAGGGAAGTGCCGGTGTTGACATATGGTCTTATATCGTGAGTCTATTATGATCCATTCACAAAAGACGGAAGAAAATATAAGAAGTTAACTACTAGTAACCTTCTCCAAGAAACTAATATTCGTCACTTTAAAGTTTTAACCACTCCATGTCATAGCAATCGTACTTTTTTACACTATCGGTGATTAATTACAAAATATTCATTTTGGATTTTTTCTCAAAGAGATTCAATCCATTCCTTTGTTCTTTGTATAAGTTTCAATAGTATTGTACAATGTGTTTTCTTAAAAGTTGCAGGTACAAAATGCACTCTTTAATTTGTCTAGACATCTATTCCTTTAAAAAAAAAAATATGCATTAGGCGAATGTGGTTTTTAAAACTTTCACTATTCGAGAACTTTTTCGAAAAACTATCACCATTTGATCATTTCTTCGTCACTAGTGATGAATTTAGAAACAAGAGAGTATCCACCCACTCAGCTTATTTCTAATCTCTAAGGGTCTATTTAGTAGGCCATGTTTTTAATAGGAATAAATTTTCAAAAGTTTTTCTCCAACTTTTACTACAGAAACTTGTAAAAACACCTTCTAAATTTTATAAAAATGCACCCTAAAATATCCAAAAAAAAATACACACCCATTTTTCTGTTCTACCGCTACTTTCTTTTCCTAACCATTTCCACCTCCACCTACCTTCATCCCCTTCTCACATAGTCACCATTGCTGTTATCGCCACCTTCTTCCTTTCTTTTCTACTTTCTCCCTCCCTCTACTTTTCCACTTCTCATTCTTTTCTCTTCTTCATCTATCACCCCCTTTTCGCCTCTCCCTTCACCCCCACCCTCCTTTCTATCCCCCCATTTAATCACATGACCAGAGAGGAAGAGGGAGAGGAGGAAAGGAATGGGTGAAGGAAGAAGGGAGGGAGGGAGTGGCGAGAGAAGAAAAAGGTTAAAGCAAGAGAAAGGGAAAGCGAGAAAAAGGGAGAGAGAAAGAGAGCTAGGAACGACGGTCGTGAAGTTTTCGATCGACGGTGTTTGAAGTAGTAATAGTGATAAAAAGGAAGAAGAAGAGAGGAAATAAGAATAAAAAATTTCAATTTATTTACAAAAGTTTTTCTACAAATTCTATAGTAAATTTTAATAAAATTTTGTAAAAACATCTAAAAAAATGTGCTATCCAAACAGATCATAGATAAGAAGCAATAATGTGCAAAGAAGGTGTACTTACTACTTGCTCGTTTGCTAATTAGACAAAACGAAAAATACAATTCTAATTAACTTTTCCTTGTATTCGAAGTTAGAACTAATTTTCCAATCTAAGCTCTCCAATTTTTCTTTCTCTTTCTTTTCTTTGTTATTCAAACTCAACTTTACTAAGTTGCTTTGACTAGAAGGAGAATTGGGCTTGTATGCTCAAGCTCGCACAACATTGTGGGTATCAATTGCATTTATTATATATATTCATGGATCATAAAAGCCTCTTTGTATTCTTCATTCGATTGATTTAAATATATATTCAAAAAAGTTGCAGCTACAATCACAGCTAACAAATTCCATCCTGAACTTTTCCATGCAATGCTAACCGTATTTTTCAACTGGCTGTGCTAAATTATTTAATAGGCTTTTTCATCAAGAATAAAAAGACACTCAATATTTTGCTGTATATAGTCGTTCTGTCATGGTCTCACGTGACAATTAAACCATGACATGAATGAATAGGACTGCGATGTGAAAAGTATATCGAAATTAATTTACTTCCAACAATATCAAAATGTTTGTGAGATTTATGCCGGAAATTTATTCTCAGGAGTGCCTAAAAGTCTATATGCGTTTTTAACGGAAAGCTCTAAAGAATACCAATCCATTTCCTCCCTTTCTTTCCAGATTTAAGACATGGTTACTCTTGACACCACATACTACATTATTAATAAGGTTTGTCCAAAAAAATTGAGGAAAAATCATAGGTATATTACTCTACTATATACTCCTTGATTTTCTTAGACGTGGGAAAAAAATCCAAAAGGGGACAAAAGAAGAAGAAAAAGAAAAGAATTGTACTAGTATAAATTAGTAATTCCCGAAGTGGGTCCCACAACATTGACATCTTCTTTTTAACCTTGGGACAAAATGGAGGACTTGGTCAAAAACCCATAGTTTTAACCACAGTTAAACTTGCTCCAGGCAATAAATAAAAAGCCTTCACATCACAATGTCACATCCCCTCCATTTCTCCCCTGCAACGACCAATTTCCCCTCACGCTTCACTGACTCCTCACTTAATTAGCACATCTTCCAAACTTCAATGCCGCCACAATATTAGCACCTTTTTGGTTTCTTTGGGTAAATTTACTTTCCCACCATCCAGAGAGATCGTGGAGATGACGGTGTTCACCTCCACTAACGCAGCCGGCGGATACATGGCGGGAAAGCAAGTGTTTCCGGTGGAGTACGAAGCAGAGCCGCTCTCTCAGCGACTGGTCGACGCGGCTCACGCCAACGACTTGAAGTCGGCTTCGGAGTTAATATCTAACCCCTTCGTTGACGTTAATCACATGGGAACAGTTTTGTTGAAGGCTAGAAAAACCGAGGTGGTGTTGCATGACGAGGATGCCTGCGAAGTCAGCGTCGAGTTCGAGGAGTTTAAGACTGAGGTCACGGCGTTGTTCCTAGCAGCTCATAACGGAAATGTCGCACTCGTCCGAAAATTACTGGTTAGTCAACGTCTTTACTGTTTAGGTAGAGCTATTTATTTTATCTTTTTTTTTTTTTTGGCGTGATCTCGTAGAATATATGACTTGTCTAAGAGTTTAGTTTAGCCTTGGTTTTTTTTTTTTTTTTTTGGGGGTTTCCTTCTATTTCTCTTCCATTATCATTTTATTGTGAAAGTGAGGATTTTGTTGATGCCTATGGAGTTTTGGAGTTCTGAAGGAATAGCATTTTTCTTCACTTTTGGGAGTTTTTGGTTTTGCGATTGGGGAGTTTTGGGAAGTAGGGGTTCGCCGGTGTATTTTTTGAGGAGTCAACGTGGATTCTAATCACTATGACCTGTTTCTGTATTGGTTTCCCTGAAATTCTTCAACTTGTGGATTTTCTACGAGTTTTGTTAATATTTGGTACTTTTGAGTGTTTAAAGAATTTTTGAACTAAATATTTGCTTCTTACATCATCCGGTTTGCTTTTTAGATAATTTGAATTTGAAATCCGGGGCTCAATTAGTGTAACGGGTGGACAGTCTTAACGCTTGATTTGGAATGAAAAGAGAATTTATGTAAATGAATTAATTTAGTCAACCTGGTCGTTTGTCTTGGAGCTGCTGGGTGAAATGATGAAGGATACAACGTTTTTTTTTTTTTTCCTTTTTCAGAATTTCTTTAGCTCTTATTCTCCTCCTTCAACGTGGAATTTGCATCATAAGATGGTATAACTCTCTCCATTTACTTTCTTTTACTAATTGAATTAATTAAAGTGATTTTCCATTAGGAAGTGGATATGACGATGCATTTTGAGTTATAATGGTTCCATCCAATTAAGTGATTCTAGTCGGTCTAGCTTTACTTCTTCTTTTTTTTTTTTCTCCAATAATCAGGTCTATCTTTACTACTGAATCATTTTTGTGCTCAGCGAGTCTTGTCTGCCTGCTATAATTTGCAAACTAGGAATTCTGAGCAAATAAATAGGCCCAGAGAATGTAACAGTCATGGATCCCTTTAATTTAGGCCTTTTAAGTAGTTTTTTGTCTTTGTATTACTTGAGACATCTGAGTGAAGGTGCCAGATTCCATAAACAAGGGGCAGCATGACACGCTGGTCTGTGAATGAATGAGTTATTAATGTTGCCATGTTAACCCATTGCTTAAATAGTGCCTAACACACATTGTTGTTTTCTGTGGACAGAGTGCTGGAGCTGACGTGAATCAAAAAATGTTTCGAGGCTATTCCACAACAGCAGCTGCAAGAGAGGGCCATATTGAGATTTTGAAGATGTTAATTAGTGGGGGAGCAGCTCAATCTGCATGCGAAGAGGCTCTGTTGGAGGCATGCTACCTGGGGCGGGCCAGAACAGCTGAGCTTCTCATGGCCTCTGATATGGTCCGCCCACATGTTGCTGTACACGCCCTTGTCACTGCATCTTTTAGAGGGTTTAAAGACTTTGTGGACACACTTCTCAAGGTACTTGATGGTAGCAGCCAACCTTTCTTAGTCATCTGGGGACATCCTATTTGATTGCTTTTTGATGATAAGCTGACAGATCACTGAAGTTAGTGATTGATTATGGTTACAGTTAGTTTCATATAGCTAGTATCTCATTCGTGATGCATTTGCTTATACTTTGACGATATCCAGGCGTGATGAATTTGCTTAGTTCATGTTGCACCGTCCTTGGAAATATAGGACGATAATGTTGGAACTGGTAGAATGTTGAAACCACTTGTTCTTCCCTCTTTCACACTCTCAAATAACAACCTTTTGAATTGATGACAGTGTGGTGTGGACTGTAATGCCACAGCCAGGGTGCTGCTTCAATCTTCCAAGCCATCACTTCACGCCAATTTTGACTGTAACTCTCTGGCTGCTGCCATTCTTGGTAGGCAAATTTCTGTTGTTCGGCTGCTGTTACAGGTAATGATGTTGCTGCAGTGTCATAAAGATACCATAGTAGGGCTTGTATGTCTTATCAATTGGGTCTTCAACTTCAAGGGTGAACGGTTATGCTTGCCTGATGCATGCAACCCATATTAGGCTCAATTTTTATGGATCGCACGTTTTAGGTGCTCACAAGACCTGTTATTTCACAGCCACAGTGTGGTTATGTTCTCAAGTGCAGACTCTATGTTGTAGGTTGGTGCCAGAACAGATATCATGGTCAGGCTGGGAGCTTGGTCATGGGACGCTGCCACTGGAGAACAGTTCCGAGTAGGTGCTGGTCTGGCTGAGCCTTACCATGTAACGTGGTGTGCGGTGGAGTTCTTTGAATCCAGCGGTGCCATACTGAGGATGCTCCTCCAGCACCTTTCTCCTAATATTCCCCACTTAGGGAGGACAATCATCCACCACGCGATTCTCTGTGGAAATGCCAGACCAGTTGAGGTGCTTTTAACCTGTGGTGCTGATGCAGAATTCCCTGTCAAAACTAAACAAACAGCGCACCGTCCCATACATATGGCATCAGAACATGGGTTGGCTGGAGCTCTTCACCACCTTATTAATGCCGGCTGTGATCTGAACTCTCTCACAGAATCTGGCGAGACTGCACTGATGATTAGTGCCAGATGTAAGCAAGAGGAGTGCCTAAAACTTCTTACTGCAGCTGGTGCAGACTTTGGTTTGTCCAACATCGCTGGGCAGTGTGCCAAGTCAATTGCTGGATCAGTACGGTGGGCATATGGCTTCGAGCGAGCAGTTTTAGATGTTATTCGAGATGGGAAGAATGCTCGATCTAGCAATGCTGCAATTTTTTCTTCCTTAATATTTGTTACCCAAGCAAATGATATCGAGGCCTTGAAGAAACTTCTCAAGCAACCGGAGATAAATCTCGACGAACAAGATGAAAATGGATTCTCAGCAGTCATGGTTGTGGCGGCGGGTGGTAATGTGGAGGCCTTTAGGTTGCTTGTTCATGCTGGAGCTGATGTAAATTTGGCTAACAACTATGGCGAAACCGCTATTACTTTGGCTGAAAAACACCAGAACAGTGATGCATTTGAAAAAGTAATGCTGAACTGCATGCGTGCCAAGGGAGACAACAGCTACGGTGGATCTTCAACTCTACACCGTGCGGCACATAATGGCGACCTCAATCTGGTGCAAGCTTTGATAAACGAAGGATATGACATCAATCTTTCTGATTGCGATGGATACACCCCACTGATGTTAGCTGCTAGGGCCGGAAACAAGAGCACGTGCGAGCTTTTGATATCTCGTGGTGGTAGATGTGATATTAAGAATGCAAAGCTTGAGACTGCACTCTCACTTGCCAGAGAAAACGGTGGTGGAAAAGATGCTGAAGCTGTGATACTGGATGAACTAGCTCGAACGCTCGTGGTAGGAGGAGCTCGAGTGAAGAAGCACATAAAGCAAGGCAAAGGAAGTCCCCATGGCAAGGTACTAAAGATGGTTGGAGCTACTGGTGAGCTGAGGTGGGGAAAATCTAGGAAGAGAAATGTGATATGCCGCGGGGCAGAGGTTGGTGCGAGCGCAACGTTCCGGTGGAACAGACGAAAGAAGCTCGATGCCGATGAGCCGGGAGTTTTCCGGGTAAAAACCACAAAGAACAAGGAAGTGCATTTTGTGTGCGAGGGTGGACTTGAAATGGCAGAGTTGTGGGTAAGGGGAATTAGGCTTGTGACAAGGGAAGCTATTTTTGGCAAATAAAAAACCTCTGGTGATTCATAGCTGGGCCTGCACCCGTTCCAATTTTTGGTTCATGTACATAGTAACTACCATAACAGGAGAGATGTTGCATAAAATCATCGGGTAGTAGTAGTACCTAGTACCAATGTTTTGCAAACCGGACCGGATCGGCCGGTTCGACCGATTGAACTGCGAACGGCCATGGCATCGGTCTGATTCAATACCATAGTTGACTTTGTCAGAAAATTGGTCAAGAATCGGTCGAACCGTAAAAATCGCGATTGAACCGTTATTGAACCGATTTTCAACCTTCCTTTTTTTTTCTCCAAAGTGCAGCTTTTTTTATTTTTTCTCCAAAATGCGGCTATCAAGATTCGAATTTAAGACCTTTGTAATAGAAGATCAATGTATTAATCGTTGCACCATCACATCTTATTAGTTTTTTTTGATAATTTATTTATATAAAGCAAACACTTATATTTCTTTTTTCCATTTTTCTTACAAAATCTCATCTTCTCATGGTTCTTTCTTTTTAATTTTCAACTCTCTCTCTCTCTCTATCCTCTTTTTTTTTGTCACTCCCTTTTTAATCAAACCTCATTATTTTTAATTTATTGATGTTTTCTTCCATTTTTTAATTTGGTTTTTGTCCATTAAATTGAAAAAAATTAAAAAAGAATTATTTTTTTAACCCAAATTATTTAATGCTACAACCACTCACTTTTATCTCATTTTTTGTTTCTTATCAAGTTTACATTTCTATTTTCGATTTTCTTGATTTCTTTCGAACTCCAAACTTTCATTTTTAAATTGCAATCTCTAAAACATAATTAAAATTTAAGTTCACAATATCTAAATTCTCAATGACGTGAATTTTGTATAATTTTAAAATATTGTGATATTTTTGGATTGGATTTAGACATAATTGAAATCGAGATGAAATTTATTTGTTTTAACTTATAATTTAAAAAATTTATTTTTAAAAAATCCAAGTTATTAAAAAATAGTAAACCTTTCATCATATAAAGTATTAAATTAATCCATTACATGTCTTATTTTGTACATATATATATTTATATAAATAATTTTTTAAAAAATTCATTGAACCGATGTTGAATCGGTCCGACCGATTGAATCTCAATCCTTTCACTTCACCGGTTCAATTAACGGTCCGATTTTTAAAACATTGCCTAGTACGCTGTGCCTGTGCTGTCCAGCTAATTAATCCTGCGAATAGAAATACGACGTTGATTTGTTTTTCCTCCTACTTCCTCCCTTTCTTTTCAATTACTGTATTAATTATTGAAATTTCCCACTTTCTCCATCCTGTCCTACTCCTTCCCATCACATTTCCGGTCAGAGAATGCAAGGTGGGTTATAATTCCCATTATATTATTATGTCAGCTAATTTCACCTCAAGCGATAAGGAGATTTTTTAGACCTTTGCAATAATGTTACTGATAGGTTTAACTCCACTATTCCGTTTCCCCTGAAAAAAAAAAGGGGGGGGGGGACACAAACTAAAGACGTGACTCTTTAAGTCATTGAATGGACCTGAAATTTCTATTTTAGTTACTTGCAGATTGTAATTTAAGAGAAACTGTAGGAGTAATTTATTTGTTTTCTACGTATATATATTTATATTATTGAAAGGAAAGAGTCCTTTTCGTTTGCACAAATGAACTTCTACATGGAATGGGAATGTGATGACACATTTTGTCCGTCACTTGGTTTATCGTAAATCATTTACGTAATAAAAATTTTGTCTCATCATGGATTATGAATTCTCAGTGGATTTTTTTTTTTTTTTTTTGTCGATACGATAGACTATTCTACACTAGGAGTAAAGGAGAATCTGAAAAAGTCCAAAAGTAATTCGAAAGAGACTGAACCACCGTTGAACCAAACGAGTGCACTATGCATGCGTCTGTTTTTTTTTTCTTTTTTAAACAGAGTCACATAATGTAACAATTGGTGGAGTCAAACTTTAATGCTTTAATGCTTTCTCGGTGGATCCTTCTGCAATCAAGGTACCCTTCTTTTATATATACTAGCATGGTTCTGGCCGCGCTATGCAGCGGCCTACCCACTGGTATGAACAGCTTAATCCGTAACAATGAGGATAATTTCCTAAAATATCATCATGTATATATAAGCTCAAGAGGTAAATACTATGCAAATCACAATAATACATTACATAAACTCAATCATTCATGTCTTAGTAGAATAGATACTTGGATGCCAGCCACAGTTACATATTAGGAGGCTTAAATAAGCTTTATTGCCCAATGAAGTACAGCATTGATGGTTAAACAATTACTAAGTATATTACGATCCTTTACTTTTTAAGTCAAAAGAATAATGGATCATAATATAATTCAAAAGATATTGTCTAAGCAATGGAGGAAAGGCAATGAACAAAAGATTTAACAAAAGTACAGAAATAGGCCATATTAGTCTTCCTTTGCTTTAGCTTTCTTGGTTGGACTGTCTTTGATATTTGCAGGTGGACCATACAGTTTTGCAGGTTCTTTGGCAAACTCTTCAGGAGCCTTTGTTGGATGTTTAGCATGTGTGTCTGCTGGTAAATCTTCTGGAAACTCAAGGCTTCGTTTTGCTCCACTGGTTGCAGATGTCTGGCTGTCTTTGTAAGAACTGGCTCCAGCAATTTCTTCAAGTACCAACTTTGTGCTTGGTGTGAACAATTGAAGCTTATTTAAGTCAGCATATTTAAGTTTGTCTTTTTGTTTCTTTCCAACATTCTTAGATCAGGGGAATCATCAAACATTTCATCTATCAATCTAAAACCTGTACTAAATTTTCTTTTTTTTTTTCATTTTGAAACACAAAAAATCAAAATCTAATTTTACTATAAACAAAGCAAAATGCTAATCCAAAGGCACACAAAATGACAGAATCAAAGCATCCTAGAATAGCTAAAACTAAGTAATATATATAAAATGACAACCTTAATAAGCCAAAGGACAATGATACTAAATGATGTAATTATTGAATAGATAAGCAGCTAACAGCATCATGCAACATTTGAAATAAAAAACAGAGGGAAAAGTAAACTATCATAGCATAACATCAAACACATCGCATTTCTTAATTAAGAGAAAGCAATAAACAGAGGCAACAACAGTGAAAAAAAAACTTGCAGTTCAAAATAGAAGGTGATAAAATAGAAACATACCTATATTTTCTTTGCTCGCCTGAATGTTGGCAAAAGTCCAGCAGCATTTGAAAATAATATAAAAACAGAGAAAAAAAGTAAACGTAAGCTAATCGAAAAAATAGCATCATAATTATTCTTTTATTTATAATATCAAACACATGGCAGTCTTTAATTAACGGAAGGTAAGAACATGGCAATAAATATAAATAATAAATAAACAGAAGGTAAGAATATTCATCAAACTAAAAAATTGCAACTTAATATGCTGACTGAAAAATTGACAGAAACTAAAATTAGTTGCTCAAACTAAAATTTGCAGCTCAGTCATCAAACTAAAACTAAAAAATTGCAGCTCGAAATAGAAGGAAAGAGAATAGGAATTACCTAGATTTTCTTCGCTCGTCTGCTGAATACCGGCAAAACTGGGAAACAGAGGTATATATAGAGTTGGAAATAGTAAGTTCTGAAAGCTATAGCATAGATGATAAGGCGGTAGAACAGCCATCCCTAAAATGAGCTGATTTTGGGGAAAAAGAGATTTGAGTGAGCTGTTTTTTAGGGAAAAAGAAGAATTCACGCGAATGTGGATGATTTTTTGAGAGGTAATCCAAAGGAAGTACAATTAGTTGGTGGAAGTACAATTAGTTGCTCGAGGAATTGACAGAAAATTGAAGATTTTGCAGGCTTCTAGATTTTGGGGGAAAAAATTTTACTGACCTAATTTTTGGGGTAGGACAAAAATTCACGTGCGTGTGGAGGATTTTGTGGGTTGCAATCAAAAGGAAGGACAATTGGTTGTTGAAGGAATTGGTAGAAAACTAAAAATTTTGCAGGTTGATTCGACGGGAAGAAAGCGGCTATTTGAGAGAAAGAAAGAGGGTACTCGGCGGGAAAAAAGGGAAAGGGGAAAAGGGGGAAGGAAATTCTGGTAAATGAAGAAGAAGGAAGCTCGATGACTAATAAGACCATTAAGCTACTGTTGACTAACTTACATCATGAGTCATCAGTCATACTAATCATGCTAACAGGCAGGAACATTACTTCTAACGGGTATGACTGCATTAATTTGTATAATTATATAATTAATAATATAATGTAATTCAAAACAACCCATGTGATAAAAAAATTCACAAATAGTCTACAATTATTGCATTTGACCAGAAAATTATCAAAGAGATATTTTCAAATATACAAAAATAACACTAAATAGTTAGCAACTATTTAATGAGTTAGTTTTCATAAAAAGATTCAATTGACCTTTCAAACCAATTAAAAACCAATCAAAAGGAACAAATAAAAATAATTATATAATGTAATTCAAAACAACCCATGTGATAAAAAAACCCACAAATAGTCTACAATTATTTGCATTTGACCAGAAAATTATAAAAGAGATATTTTCAATATACAAAAATAACACTAAATAGTTAGCAACTATTTAATGAGCTAGTTTTGATAAAAAGATTTAATTGACCTTTCAAATCAATTAAAAACCAATCAGAAGGAACAAATGAAAATAATTATATAATGTATTATATAATGTAATTCAAAACAACCCATGTGATAAAAAGGTCCACAAATAGTCTACAATTATTTGCATCTGACCAGAAAATTATAAAAGATATATTTTCAAATATACAAAAATAACCCTAAATAGTTAGCAACTATTTAATGAGGTAGTTTTCATAAAAGGATTCAATTGACCTTTCAAACCAATTAAAAACAAAACAAAAGGAACAAATAAAAATAATTAAACCATTGTTACCAATTAGCCCCTAAATAGTAAGGAACTATTAAGACCTTTAATTTCAAGACCAAGGCTCAAATAGGCCATTTCTCACTCTTTAAATTCCAAAAATCAGAAAACAAACTCCTTCCTAACTCCTTCCTCTAACAATATATTGACACTTGGCATTCAAGGGAGAACTTGAGTTGTTCTCTTATCTAGTAGGTAGATATATAATTTTTTTTAAAAAAAAAGAAAAGAAAAATTGGAGCAAGCCTGAATCCTCCTGACGCCAGTCGGTTTGGGTCGTCGGAGCAACCAACCAAACATTAGTGCTATACCTACGCTCAATTGGGTTTCCTGCACTTTGTATGGGCCTCAAAATAATCCAATTTTTACATGGGTGCCCAC